CATCATCACCACCACCACTGCTATTTACACACAGTCTACAAGATACTTCTGATTGGATTTGGTACTTTTGACTATTGGATCCTTCCCAAGGATCTAGGATAGCTCAAGACAACATCAGAAGATATGCACTGTCCAAAGTAACGTAACCATTTTGTAACTGGTGAGTTGAGATTCTCTCATTCCTGATCCACTGCAGCTATCAATTTCCTGAACTAGGAAGCATGGAAAATTGCAGTCCCATGCAGGTCCCAGTTGCGGCACGGACACATCGCCATCTCTGGTTTTTCACTTTGGACTGATAAATTTGTGAGGGAAAACAGGGAGAGCTGGATGGTGGGGGGAGGTTTATATTTGTAAAAAAGACTAAGTTGGTTTCATAATAACTTGGAAGGCCAAAGCAGGAGCTCATTTCCAACTCCACCCCCCAGTTCTGAATTTGCCACCATCTGAGATAAGATACGAATAGCAAAATAAAGGAATGAGCACATTTCACTAAGACAGTCCTTTCTCCTTTGGCATTCAGTCCTTGAGATGGAAAACACATACTCGCTCTTGATGAAGGCATACTTGTTGATGGTCTCAATCACATCTTTAAAAAGGATCTTGGAGGTCAGGGTGTAGCCATGGTGGACAATGGGCTCACCATCTGGACCATCCCAGCAGTCAACTGCATAAAAGAAGGGAAAAGAGACACCGCGATGTTAGACCTGCGTCTTGTAGCATCTTTAATAGCTGGTGGGAGGCAGAGATATTTGCTGCTGGAACCCAAATCATACAGAGAAGCACATCTTTGGGGTTTGGGACTCCAACTTCCAGATTTGCTAGTGGCCAAGAATTCCAGAAGTTGGAGGACTAACTGGAGAATATGGTTGACGTGGTCTGATAGTGACCTGAGGGGTTCTGAGCACAGCTGAAAAGACAACCTAGTTTCTTTTCAGGAAACTATCTATCTCAGGATAGCTGAGTCTCTCTTCTTAGAAGGGAGAGGGGCAAATTTGGTTCGGAGCCATTTGCTTAAAACAAAAAGCTGAACTGGGGAAGGAAGGGGAAAAGACAGAACTGAGTGAGGTGAACTAGATGACCGCGGAAGACCCTCCCAACTTTGATATTATGATCCTAGTTCATCCTCCCAGAGAGAGTCATATTCAACTGTGCTTATAGCCCAGATTTGGAGCTGTCATTGGTTGTTCCCCAACTTTTTTGCTCCAGGCAGAAAGAACCATGCTAGGGCACATAGCTCTGAATGCAGCCTCTGCACTGCAGGGACTTTGTTCCATCCATCTTTTCTTACAACCTCCCCCAATGTGCAAGTTTCTTCATAAACAGGTCTGGAAAAAATGAGAGAGAGAGAATGAGAGAGAGAGAGAGAGAGAGAGAAGAAATCCACAGCCTTGTCTATCTGGAATGAGTGACAAGAGGGAATTGTGGAATCTTGACATAACACAGCTGGGTTTCCAAGTGGGGCAACGGGATGCGGGTCCTTCCTGCAGCTCACCTTCTACACATCGGCATCCGGACTGCAGAACCCAAGCGTACATATCCACTCTGGACTGGGACATCAGCTGGTCTCCCATGAGGTAGGTATTATGAGATGAGGTGATGAAATAGTAACTCAAAGGGCGAGTCATGTCTTGATTGACATGGTAGTGTTCGGGGTTGAAAATATCCCCGGCAGGGCTGCGCATGTAGTTGGTGAACCCTGTAAGAAAAAGGAAATTCAGAAATGCGGTTATTCCGGCAGTGTACACAATGGACTTAGGGGAGACCCCTGTACCCCATGTTGGAATTACTCCAAGAATTCCGAGAGGATGGGGCCTTGTCAGTGCTGGCTGGCATGTCTGAGAGTTGCATTCCCAGCACCTCCGGAGGATACAGGATGGAGAACAAAAGACTGAACTTAAGTTAATGAGATGTAGCTTCAAGTGATTGAGCCTTCAAGTTCTGAAGCTGGACTAGTCAGAGCTTAATCTCCCTGTCAGAATGACTAAGAGAGGGGGAGGAGAAATTATTAGACACCTCCACCCTGAATTTTTAGTTTCTCAGAGAAAGAGGGATAATTATCAAGACAATTGCTTAAAAATGCTCAAGTAATTACATGCAAGTTTAATTAATGTAGCCTGAATACATTGGCATTGGGGAAAATCCATAGTAACGCAGAAAACTCCTTGTTTTCATTGTCAGATGAAGTACATGTACATTACAGTGAGTATTGTCCCTGTTGCCTGTCCTCCCAGTACAAGTCTGGCAGGAGACTCAGCCAAGAAACCAAACCAGTGCAAACTCAGATTTAAAGAGGATAAAATCTCCCCTGAATAAACACAATTCCTGATGGTTTCATGGACACATCCACAGAGTTTTTTGAGTAACAGAGCAGACGTGGTTTGCCATCACATTCTTCCTTCCATCCTTCCTATTTCCCCCCCCCGTTGGACTTTCTAGTCTATCCTGCAGCATGAGATTTCTTGTTGGCTCCCATTCATGAACACTAACCAGGTCTGGCCTTACTAAGTTTTGCAAAATGAACCATGATCAGTAAGGTATGACCACCTAGCTGGGCACAGTTGAGTGAAGTTGTGTTGAATGTCAATAGCTCAAGAGCTGTGATGTTGCTTCACCCCTGACCTAACATTATAAGCTCCCTCCTTTCATTGAAGGGTGGGGCCTTAGAGGTGCCAGGCTACTTTTCTCCAGACATGTTTTGGAGACATCTTACCTCTGCTGCTCCCCTTCCACGGAGAAATTTAGTAAATGGGGCCATTTGGACTCTCTCTTTCCAGGAAGGGTTCTCCAAAGATACCCTGTCTGCTGCACCACCCCCTGCATTTTCTGGATCAATTTCTGTGGCAACTGTGGCAACTTGCTATATTCAACCAGCACTGAAAAAGGAATCACACCTATGCCTAAACTGAGTTGATCAACCTTATGCGACTCAGACTGAATCCTAAACAGATCCATGCTTGTTTGAATTCCAACCAACTCGACCAACCTAAATGGTGTGATGGAGACAGATTTGGGAAGGCCCTGCAAGAACAAGATCACTGTAGGCACTTTGTCTCTGTGTCTATCAACGTTTTTCATCCACAACTCATGTGCCCATATATAGAACAGAAAATTAGCAGAGATTGGGGGAAGGGGAGGTAAGGACCTTCTGAAACTATTCACAGCAGTGTTAATTCTGATTGTGGCACCACCACCACTGGTATTTTGCTTTTTTTCAATGTGGGAAGATGGGAAGAGGAATGGTGAGACAGGAACGGATGGCTACCCTTGGACCAGTTGAGAGAGCTGTAGAAACAACCAGCCCATGAAAGGTCCAGGTGAGTTACAAGGCTATGTCATTCATGCTGTATGAGCAGTCCAAATGGATCCTGATTGTCCTCCAGCAAACCATCTATGATGCCATCTTGGTCCATCACTCCAATAGGCACAAAGGATAATTAACAGAAGCTTTGCTTACAAAAAGTATGTATTATCCTCGTCAATAACTGCACCTAACCCGCCCCCCCCCCATACAATCATCCATGGCATTTGAGCCAGCTGGGTCCATGGAGAACTAATTAGGCTGTGAAGCTTGTCCAGAGAACAAGGCTGAGATACGTAAGACTTCTATCAAGAATGGAGCATTTTTTTCCTTTAAACTCTTGAAACTTTCATCAAGCTTGTTCAACAGCCTTTCTAACAGGCCCACTTGGGGGCATCCAAGGTGGAGCTTGACCTGGCAATTCTTTTCAAAAGCTTTCCCTATGGGTTCCCCAGACAGACCAAAAAGCCAGGCTGAAACTTTAAACACACTCCTTGCGCAGTCCTCCTAATGATCTGGTCTTGGCTTCCTCCCCTAACCATCTTCAGTTGGGTGATCTGATTCCCAGCTGCTCCATTTGGTTCTAGCTGTTTCCTAATCCTTCTTGGGGTGGGTTTTTTCCCCCTCCAATTTGACTTTGTCTCTACTCTTGAGTTGTGACAACGCTGTCAATTTGTGTTGCTGTAGACTACCTAGCAACCGGGGCTTGAAGTATATTACAGTGAACTCACCTTGGGTGCCTGGCAAGTGCCTGGGTGTGTGTCTGGGTGTGTGTCTGGGTGTGTGTCTGGGTGTGTTGTGCCTGCAAGCTCGTCCACATCTCCTTTTATAGAAGGTCGATTTTAATCCTAACATGTGCAAATTATACAGCGAGCGAATCTAAACACAATCCTTACATGTCTTTCTCTTCAAGGGCGCTGGTGTCACCTCCTGAAATGAACAATCCCATGAGGTTTGAAATGGATTTGGACTACTCCGGTTTTCCCCAGTCCAGCTTCTTCCTCTGCATCACCATCTTAGAGTTCTTTTATTTCCCCCCCAGCTGAAGGCAAGCAAAATCTCTGCTTTCTTCATTGCTTACCACCATCATTACCCACAATCTGTCTTTACCTTGCCCCCTAACCATGGATTGGGCTCTGGAACAAATAGGAAGCTAGTAGGGCTATTTGGCCCAGCTAGACGGCAGCACCAAGCTAAGGTTGGCTGATCTTCAAAAGTTAAGCAAGATTTATATATCTATAGTGCCTTCGAGTCAGACCTGACTCCTGGGGACTGCCTGGACTAGTCCCTGCAGTTTTCTTTGGCAAGATTTCAGAACTGGTTTGCCATTGCCTCCTCCTCGGGCTGAGAGAGAGGGACTGGCCTAAAGTCACCCAGCTGGCTTTGTGCCTAAGGTGGGACTAGAACTCACCGTCTCCTGATTTCTAGCCTACTGCCTTAACCACTACACCAAACTGGCTGTAAGCAAGATTAGACCTGGTTAGTTCTTGGAGGGGAGAATACCAGGAGATCCCAAGGCCAAAGGTTAGATTGGAAAGTCAAAAAACTTCCCAGAAGAGCGATGCTGCCCTCCCCACAAAAAAATAGGTGCCTATGCAGTCACCAGGAGTTGAGATATATTTTTCAAGACCAGAGGGAGGGGGTCTACCAAATGTGCATAAAACAGTAGCTTTTTGCCCTAGCTACCATTCCCAAATGTTGTCCAAGGGCAGCCCTCTGTAACATGAGTTGTAGCAATCTAGGCAGAAGATGATTAAAGCACAGGCCACAGGGATCAGAACTGTTTTCCCTGAGAAGACATGTCATTAGTGTACTGTGCTAATTTGGAGAAGGGAGGAATTAATATTCCTAAATCTCAGTTTTCAATACAAAGGATTTTATGCATATTTTTTCCTCACTCGAACAAGTAAGAAGGTCTGCTTCTCCATCCACCTCCATTTATCACTTGTTTTCCTCCCCCAATTTTTTATCAGAATAAACAAGGCAGACTCATTTTTCAAACCCGACTCTAACTTAATCTGGTCACCCAGAATCAATACTTTTATGAATGCAGCGATTTCACGAAGCAACGGCTGCAGAAAAGGGGGAGGGTCTGCTAGAGTTGGGGACGTGGGGACAAAAGGCAAGCTGACATTTCAAAGCAGGGGTCACCAGAGAAAAGGTCAAAAGAGGCACTACAACATGGCTTGGTGTAATCACCTGCACCGGTTCTGCAACCATCAATCTTTTTTTCTGAAAATGCTGGTTTTTACTGGTTGGTTTGTTGGGGTTTTTCCTGCACTCCGGCTATGAGGTTGAGCCTTGTTTTGGCATGGAATTTGAGAATGAAACGGTAGCAAGTTTCAGAATAGAGCAAATTCTCTTCTGCTGTTCCATTTTGCACCTGAAGAACAATTAATGCAACTTTCTTCCTATCTATTTTCGAAATGCTGCCTCCAACAGATTATTTCCAGGGAGAAAAAGTTGCCCAATGCTACTTTTGGACCCAGAGTAAACTCTACTTCATTTGAGGCAGTTCCCATTACACTTCTAAGCAAATACCTGTTGGATTCTTTGAATTTCCCTTCAGGACTAGATTTGGACTCAAATCTTGGAATGTATTTGCAACAAGAGTTTTGTTCTTGGGTCAACCCTTCTGCCAGGAAAATCCATTCCATCAGCCAACGCCATTTTCTTTTCCAACTGACCTTTGACATTCCACATCTAATGAACTTACTCGTTTCCCAATGGGCTGAACCAGGACCCTCTGTTCCCTTTGCTTTTATTTTTAGTGGGGGAAGGTTATAAAGCTAAACATCTCAGAGTTTTCATGTGTATGGCCATACCTCCTGGCTTCTTATAGGTTCAGATTTTATATTAGCTCTTGGTAGGGCAGCCATGAAGGCCTGGGAAAAGATATTCAAATGTTGTAACTATACCTACAAAAATCAGAATAGTACAAGCTGTGGTATTCCCTGTGACCATCTATGGAAGGAAAAGTTGGACTTTGAAGAAGCAGGATAGAAAGAGTATTGACACTTTGAACTTTGGTGTTGGAGAAGACTCCTGAGAATACCAAGGACAGCCAAGAAAACAATGGATCATCAAACACATCAACCCAGAGTTCTCCCTTGGGGCATAAATAACCAGGCTCAAATTATCTTACTTTGGACACAGTATGTGAAGACCTAGCTCTTTAGAGAAGGTTCTAATGCTGGGAGAGGTGGAAGGAAAGAGAAGAGAACAACCAGTAGCAAAGTAGAGTGACTCACTCAGTTACAGAGGCAGTGAGTGCACCGTTGAAAGATCTGAAAGACCAGGTTATGGACAGATCATGGAGAAAATCTATCTATGTGGTCACTAGGAGTAAAAAACAACTTGATGGCACATAATCAATCAATCAATCAATCAATCAATCAATCAATCAGTCTACTCACTTGCTAGCAGAAGGAATTGTCTATGCTGAACTCCACAGGATTTTCCCATCAATCCATACACACACAAACACACATAGAGTCAATTTATATCGCCATCCATCTCTCAATTGTTACTCTGGGTGGAAATTATAGGGTTAAAACCAAACCAAACCATTATTATTATTATTATTATTATTATTATTATTATTATTATTATTGAAATAATGTAGCCTGAGGACAAACCCGGCTCAAAACAAGGAATCACATCGTGCGAGACAGACACACACACCTTGCTAGTCATCATCACACAACTAGACTCAATCCTCAATGTTGGAGGAAGCAGGTGGCATCTGTTCACACATTCTTAACTCATCATGAAGTAAATAAAAAACCTGGTTGCAGTGAGAGCAGCTGAACTGTTACCAGCTGCAAGGGAAACATTAGCAGATGTCCTGGGGGGTGACCTGGACAATTAATCCCTCTCTTATTTTATGCAGGAACAGAGGCGAGAAAGTCAATTCCACTAATGGGGTACATCACAAAGAGACCCTGTCATTTCTCTGAGGAGTGCTGAAGGAGAGTGCTAAAATAATAATAATAATAATTATTATTATTATTATTATTATT